TTCCTTTCATGTAACTTACAACTACTTTGGATATATTTAATTCGTTCACTTTATTGTGGTCTAATAGAATTTTAGCATCTTTTATCATCAGATATGAGTCTTGTATTCATTGTTAGACATTTTGATTAAACTAGGATTCAAGCATCGTCTAGTTAAACAAATTTGCGCTTCAGATTCAATGTGCTGATTTCCATGAGCCTGAAACCTACAAGTAAATTGATGACAAAAAATAACTGTGAGCTGCAGTCCTCGGTACTTGTGCTACTTGTAAATATGTAAGAAACTACCCTTGGAACAAACAGACATCATAACAGAGTGGGAGGCGTGTATATAAACTGGACACGGAATACACAAGTCGATGTAAGCAGCGGCGGTGAAGCACAACCCGTACCTCGGTGGGGTTCTGAGGGACTGTAGAGGCCTTGTATCCCAGCTGTAGCAGCATGGCCTCTGCTGCGTTCCGCTTGGCCACTTTCTTGTTAGGTCCTGTTCCCGTGGCAACCTCGTTATTCACCTTAACCTGCGTGAATGTAAAAACGTAGAGGAGCACACACAAACAAGCACAAATACATGAGATAAAGGCCAGAGGTGAAAGAAACACTCAGGTCTTATGTTACAGTGTAGAAAGAGTTCAAGTAAAAGGCAGGTATTCGTGTCAAAGTGTACTTAATGTACCAAAAGTAAAGGTATTCATCATCACACAGAATGGTATAATTCAGAATAAAGCATACTTCTGGATTATAAGCATTGATGTAGTGCTGTGTCCATCACTTACTGAAGCTGGTAAAGTTGATTTAACTACTTTGTATAGTTGGTTTTTGATTTTTTCTTAAATTAATAAAGTTTTATCTTAACCAATGATATTACATTGTCATTTATTTGTTGATTATGAGTTGTAATATCACATTAAATCTCCAGTGTAACTAAAACAATCAAATAAATGTAGTAGAGAAGAAGTGTAAAGCAGCAGAAAATGGAAATACTTCAGTACAAGTTACTCAAATATGTGCTGAAGTACAGTACTCAAGTAAATGTACTGAGTTACTTTCCACCACAGTTACATTAAGTTTCAATACTTTCAGATTCAAGGCTGAATATTATGGCTGTACAGGTTCTGTTTAGGTGATAATGAATCACTCTGTGTCTCACCGAAAACAATATTAAATTGAATTTTCAGACTTTCATTCACTCTCAGCTGAGGAACACTCCGAGCCGGGTCAACCACACCGTGTGCATCGTGCAAAAAGAATCCGAGTGAAGTGTTTGTTTTTCAGTAATCCCAAAACATTAAATCTGTCTACACAGAATGTAAGCAGAAATTTCCAAGAGAATATCCGACGTCGTTATGTTATCCAAACAGACAATTACACTGTACAAATAACATTCTGGGAGCCAGAGCCTGTGAACAGCCAGGCCTCAGTGCACTTACTCAAAGTGGGCTGACATGCTCGCTAAGCACTCGTCTGAATGCATCCAGTAGGCCGCGACATACAATGAGACGGAAAGCCTCGATAAATTACTCAATCATTAAATCAAACACAATTACTCTTTTATTGAATTTTAAAAGATGATCAGCTTCCCAAAGGCATTTGACACAAGGCGGAGCCTTTTTCTGTAACTAGTGATGGGGTCAGACAAAAGATGCGAAAACAGAGACTCATTTGAGCCCTGCTGCTCACCAAGGGAAACAATGTGGAAATTTTAGAAGACTGAGTGGACTGCACAAAAGAACACACACTCACAGGGCCCTAATGTGTGTATCAAAGAGGCATGGAGAATAGGTTTGAGGCTGAATTACTGCCTGATGCTAAGAGAAGCTCTGTTCATATGAAAGAAGAGGATTACGGAAAGAGACACAAAGAGGGAGAGTTTGCCTGAGAGAGACGGACGGAGAAAGACGAACAGGAAGAGAGCGAGACAAAGAGAGACTGCGGTTAAAACGTTGTGCATAAATTAAAGCAGACCAGGTAATGCCAGCGTTGTTGGTTGATGGTCTCATTCAGGCGATAAAGCTCAGAAACAAACTGCTCACTGGGTTGACTTCTGTGGATGCACACTGAGTGCAGCAGCAATAACAAACCAAACTTGGTGAAACATCTATCATGTGTGTTGGCTTTTGCATATTTTGCCAGTTTGCAAAAATACTATAAAGAAGTTCTGACACATAATCTGTATTTCTGAGAGTAAAACATTTTTAACTATAAGTAACACTTAAGAATGATTTAACTTCTGCATTTACAATAATAACAGCAGGCTCATTTCTGCAGAAGCCTGACTTTACATGTGCTTGATTATTAGATTTGGAGAAGGAACAACCTTATCCAGCATTACTGCAATCCAATTACAAGTATTGGAGGCAAAATCAAGATAGACAAAACAAACTCCTAACAAAAAGCAGGAATATTTAAAAGCTAAGAGTAATGTATATGTCAGAACACCACAATGGTTTGCAGTAACTTGTATCTACAGCAACCTGTTTGTGGTAAATAAACTAAACAACTCTAAATAAGGTACCTGTTGTATCTGATAAACCTCCCTCTCATACAAAGACTCTGCTGTGTTAACTGGTGTAGTGATACACAGTAACTCATCCATAACTAAGTTAAAGGTAAAGGTTGCTGCAGCCACACGACCATGAAATCTTATTCTGTTTCGAACACTGGCTCCTTCCTAAACAGCCACATTCTTACATCTTCCCGTGGTACACAAAACAGACCGTGCGCTGCTGTCTTTACTGGCTACAAAAGACAACCTGAAATTTTATAGACTACCAGTTGGCTGCTCCACTGAGGAAAACAGGGCTGTAAAGATGAATGTTCATCTATTCTGAGCTTTAACTGCCAACTATAAAAATAATAAATATGAAACAGAACTTTTCAAGAGGCAGCGGGGAGCACGAGAGACGGAGAGGGCGAGAGAGGAGCGAGAAAGCAAGAAGAGAAACGAGGCGTGAGAGGAAACACAGGGAGATCCGAGATCCAAACAGTGTACGGAAGAGAATTTCCAAATAAATTGTAAACCATCTTACACATGTAAATGTGCCAGAGCTAATATTTACTGGGCAAGTTTTTATATGTGAGAAACAGGATGCAATAATACGATCAGCTTCTGTTGCTTTACATCCTGAAATAACCAAACCCCCAACAATTTCATTACATCTTTCAACGTCCAAAGAAACAGAAACATGAAGCAATAAATTTGCACAGGATCTGGACTTTTTTCACCTTTTAATACAGTTAGCAATGAATTTTATGGAAAGGACGGGACCAGCTTCGTCTATGGATACCATGAGGCTGTTGCACCAAATACATAAGGGCAAGTTGAAGACTATTTCTGAGTTTGAACATCGTGGAGAAACTATGCTAACACCACGGCTACACTGAGCATGTAACACATGCGGGCCTTTCATAAAACATAGGTGCTGTGGAAAGTATCTTTGTCGTTGCTTCGCCTGCAGCACATATATGGTGTTGGGTTGTCGCAAAACAAGACAGCATACTTGTATGTTGGGATTGTTAAGTCTTGTTTGGATCCAGGACACCTCTGTGAAACTTTTTGAGTTTGGGTAATATGGGTACAATGTCATCTGCAAACTATAGCAGATTCTGTAAACTGCTAAGCACCATCAGCTGATACTGGCAAATAAATGCAGATGGGGTGATCAAGGCTCCCAATTTGATAAAAAATGCTAATTTCCTGCAATACTGGTAGTTGAAATTATAAAGTATAGTTACCCATTTCTGTGTGCAGCATATAACTAGAATGCTGGTATATTTTGACGTTCGTAGCACAGATCTCCATGCCACATATACACCACTTACGTAATGCTCAGCCACTTATTATAATCGAAGTGCAGTGCATCCGCTACACCACAAAGACGGCAACACACATGCTCGGCAGCAGCCTGCATGTACGGCTTATATGTGGAACGCGTCCTCCAAGCGTAATTTAGAACGACTATGCCTCGGTGGTGTCAGCAGCTGTCTGTGTACGTGTCTATCAGGAAGTATAATCCCATTTTAAACAGGTTATGTAATTGTCCTGTTGGCTGCCTTTGCCCAGATAGAGGAGGTTTTTTTTTTTTTTTTCCTTGTTCTGCCTCTTGATCTTAGTTCCAACAAGGTTATGTAGCACCTTTGCTGTCATGTTCTTCATCCACCAACTCACACAGCCATCCTTTGATTTATGCAGCAGACCAAAATTGAGCAGATGATAGTTAAGCTACTTTTCTTCCAGGGCATGCACAACCTCATCCTTTCACCCTCCTTAATCCTGTGTCACTTTAGGATTAGGCTACATTAGCTTAAACTTTTCAAAAATTGTTGTCAGGAAAAGTGTTTTTTTTTTTCTTGCAGGAGCACATGCTGTGGCAGGAAATGGAAGAGAATGTGAAGCAGAACTACCGTTTACCTGCATGATGAACTCCCTACGCCGGGGCATCCCTCTCTCAGAGAGCAGCAAGTACTCGGGCTCCTTCTCCTTTTTGGCCTGCTGGATCTGGGCTAGACGGCTGATTGGGTTCATGCCCTGGCCATAGTCTGGTCCCGTCTGGATGGAAAAGATGATGGACACAAATAATCACATTAATTTCTATCATTGTAACTCTACGGAGCTTAACGGATAAGAAGTGTGTATCTATTTGTAATATATATGGTAAATGGAATTAAAATCATCTGCAATGGATGGAGAGACAAGAAAATATCTCTCAATATCATGTCACTGACGCATAGTAGTGATATTTCCACGTTAACCTTTACTCAATTTGCAGTCAACTAATTATAATGGTGTATTAATTCTGCCTTTTCTTGTGTATTCGGCTTCTAGTTGCTGCCCGCATCAAATTCAAAACCCTGACACCTGCTTACAAAACCACAACGAGAACAGCTCCCTCCTACCTGAACTCTCTCATTCAGATCTACACCCCCTCCCGCTCACTACACTCGCCCAACAAAAACCTCCTGATACAACCACCGCAACAGGGCCCGAGGTCGGTAGCTAGACTCTTCTCCTCTGTGGTTCTGCGGTGGTGGAACGAGTTACCAAACTCTGTTCAATCTGCTGATTCCCTCTCAGTCTTTAAGAAAAGACTAAAGACCCAGCTCTTCACTGAACACCTTTGCACTTGACAGACTGAAAACAAACAAAAAATTAAATAAAAAATCCTATTACCTCCCACACAGCCTGCTATTGGCATCAACGCCCTATCACACTTAACTTGTTCTATGGCCCTTATCTAGATTGTTTTCTCCTGACTAGATCCTTGCTTGTGTTGTGTCTGCTCTCAGATATACGCCGCTTTGGACAAAAGCATCTGCTAGATGAAATTGTAGAATTGTAGAATTGAATTCATTATACCAAGGAAATAAACCAGGATGCCTTGAGTGCAACTTAAAGTACGCTGTCATCCAGCTGCAGTACCTTGAGGATGGTCTTAGTTCGTTTCTTGTAGTGCGTCTTGGGTTTCTCCACAGTGGGTATGAAGGGCAGCTTCTTTAGATCCTGCAGGATGGACAGAGCAGCGCGCTTCTTGGACAGCTTCTTGCTGTTGCCCTCGCCCTCGGCAGAAAACTCCCCCACGGTGACACGAGTCAGGAAGCTTTTCATGTGTGGAGGGCCGCTCTCCTTCAACACCTGGGGAAGTTATGAGAGGATGTTTGTCACAAAAAAAAAAAGTCAATGAAAGATAAAGTACAAATGGACGAGGGAAAAAAATGAATCAATGTGATTTGTAAGTGTTTGTGTCATGCGTGGTATGTGTGAGGGAGTGTGTGCGGCGCATTCAGCGAGCAGCTACAGCAGGTGGTCCAAAACATCTGCTCTCGATGGTCACACTGCTACCCACCCATATGCGCGTGTTATCCATATACAAAAACACACTGGCCTGAACAACACTGACGTACAAACACACATATGAAGAGTAACATGTTCCTAGATGACAGTCTCTAGTGATGAAGGCTCAGTTTCCTTCCTCTAGCCTCTGGTCACCTGGGAGACCTAAAACAAACACCGGCTGGCGTTAGGTCATGCTTCTGCAATCACATCTACTTCCTGTGAAGTCCGAGAACAGTATGCGAGTGTGTGTGTGTGTGTCTGTGTGTGTGTGTGTGTGTAGCAGGTGGGGTTCTCCCCAACCTTATATAGGAAAACATACTGGAGGAAGAATTAAGTTTCACACACTTACTGAGTGCAGAAGTACACGTTCAGTTGATGTGGATGCAGTTTCAGTTCCTAACTAAATGGCTTTCTTCCTCGCAATCCCTCTAATTGTAGCTGCCGTGTGTGTTTCTTTGAATTTTTTCAACCCCCCCTGCCAGCTTTCTTCATTTGAACCTAATTTGTGGTGCAGACAGCACAAATTGTAGCAATCAGATGCAATCTAGAAACAGTTAATTTGAACTCAGTGACCGACAAAACTGATAAGCGGAACCTTGAGCATTCCTCAGATACTTCGCACATCAACACAGACTAATACCAGACCTTGAGGAAAACAAAGGATAATGTGTGCATATCCCCTCTTCGCTCTTACACAACTACGCCCACACAAACAAATGGTTCGGTTCAATTAAGAAACTAAAATGACAAGGCAAGTTTGGTGCACGAAAACTACTCCCACCACTCACATAGAGAAAATCACTGCAGAAACATCTAATATAGATGTAGCTTTATATGCTGTCAAATTGCATTTTGATTTTATTACACACAGGACACAAAGTATGATAGTTTTATTCAGGTTTCCTCATCCTAGCTGAAGGATTTTCTCAACATGGCTGACACTGGGCCCCATGTTTGCTGTCACTGCTAACCTGTTAGCCTGTCAGCATTCCTGCACAATGAGTTGAAGTATGTGGAGATGTGTGTTGCAGGGAAGCCTTGGAGCACTAGCTGTCCATGCTAACAGCCAAACTCGCTCCCAACCCAGGGGATCTACTCTGGTCTTGCTCATCACCAGAAAGAGGAAATGTAACATGGCAGCTTCTTGTACATTACAACATTCAAAGGGACCGGTTACATCCCATTTCTGAACTTCTTTAACAGTGTTAGTGATGACACTGCACATCACTGGCCGGTGCTCAGCTGAGATCATGTCAACTTGAGGAAAAAAGATACTAACTCGTAGCAAAATGTAGAAAGCTTTCGGTTATACACCGGCAGGCACAAGTCAGCGATGTAGTGGATAATGGGATGTGCAGGACAGGAAGCCTCTTCAGCTGTATAGCTCTGTGGCTTCCATCACAATCAACATGTGTAAGTGTTCAGCCTATGTGGTTGAGCAAGATGGTCACAAAGACATAAACACTATTGCATCAGTGAATACATTTGAACAAAAGCTCTATTTCCACACACAAACACAAACACACGGAAAGATAAACAATTTCTATAAGTTACGGGAAAATTAGGCACCCTGGTGGGCGAGTGGTGAGTTGTGCACAATGTGACAGTGTAGTTCCTTGTCTGATTCTGTCCAGGAATCTTTACTACAAGTCATTGTTTAGCTGTCTGACAATGAGTGGAGAGTCCAGGATATCTTTCCCATTATCTGGCTTCACTAAGCCGAACAACCACAGTCGTGCTGAGCGGTCAGATGAAGCTGGATAAACAACTCGTTTAGTCAACTCAGGTTTTCTGAACACAGCTATGAGCACATCCACCTAAAATGGACAGTGTTGTCACCAGATGCGAATGTAGACAGGTCTAAAGTCGCATATTTCTCACAATGACAACAAACTACAGTCCGAAACAAATATGAAGAATTCCAAAAATAAAATACAGGTTTCAAAGTAACACTACTGCAGTAAGAAAAGCAAAAAAAACTGCCAAAGGTGTAAATATGTAAGTTAATAGGCTTATCAACATCCCTGTAAAGCTGTGTTTCTTAGATGCTGTCTACTCTTAAAGCTCATTTTAGTCTTGTTGTCTGAACTGCAATCCCAGCAGTGTTGAACATTTTTGGGAGCAAGTAGAAAAAAATATATTAAAGCGTCATTCAATCCAGTAAATAGGCTTACTGCAAATCTAAAAAGGTCAACAAGTACAAGGCTTTGATGCTTTATTAGTCTCTGTTTTAGGATTACATTGCTACAAAATAAGGCTATAGAACAAAGAAATTACTTTAAAATTGCTTGCAGTCAAGAGGGGGGGGAAAAAAAACAAAGCAAGGGAGTCATATCTCGATTTTGGTGGGTTTAGATGGTATGTAAAAAATCTCCCCAGAGACCCTCTGACTATCCACACTGAGCTCCATCAGATCTTCTAGGAATGATGACGCCATTTTCCAAGGAAACTGACTGGTCAGTAGGTAGTGTTTTTATTCATGCTGATCCGTTGTCTCAAACATAACTCGCTCCACAGCCGGTTAGATGTACAACGGAAATGTAGTCCAGTAAGAAGTGAGCTACTGTCATAACCCTAAAAACTGTGGAATAAAACCGAAGCAATGACTTGACATAGTCAGGACATAGTCTGGTGGATAACGCTTTGGTTTTCTGTATGGATTAAACAAAAAAATGTAAGCAATTAATCAGTGAGGCTAAGAGGTGCTGGTAGGTGCTGGTGCAAGGTAGTTTCTTCCACCAGTGGCTGTTGTCTTCAGCTACGCATTTACCAGATGTAACTCTTGGTGAGAAAAGAAAAGGCGATTTTCCCAAAATGTACATTTCCTTTAAAAAAAAATAAATAAAAAATGTCTAGAACACGTATAGTAAGTGTCCCCATGCTTGTTGTGTTGCCCATATTAAAAGGTAAAACTATTAAAAAATAACTTTTGTTTATCACTTTGTCAATTACTAAACAAACCAATTACACCCTCATACCAAATTACTCATTTCATTTAATCCAGAAATAACAGGTGCAAATTGCCAAAGAATGCTGTAACTATATCTGTACTCTTTGTACATTAGGATGAGTTTTTTGTTGTCTTTTTCCTGCTCGTCTAACACGCTCTTTTCAAGGTGACACACTGGGAACGTGCACAGATACCACAGAATAAGTGGTGGACAAGTGTTGCGCTGATACGATCCAGCCGCGCTGTCTAAAGTGAAAACACACAGTTACCGACAGGAAGAAAGGAATCAAATGTGGCCTGTAAAAGGTATATAGCGCAGTCAACAAAGAGTACGAGATTAAGTGTATATCTGTGCACACAATGCTACGTACTCTTGGCCAAGGATGGCGGCAGACAAGCTGCAGTCAGACTCCTGGCAGACGACACGAGATCTGCACCACACCGATGGGATTTCAGCACTTCCATTCATTTCCGCGCACACATACATGCAAACAAACACACAAACACACCCGTCTCGCGCCTAATGACAAGGATCAGGTTGTACACAGGAAACCTTCGGTAATTCAATGTTGATTTTTTTTTTTTTCAATCCCCTTCTCCTCTTGTCTCTTCATCTCTCTCTTCTTTTTTTTTTCTTTCCAAACATGTAAGGCCTTCTCCTCGGCTTCCCATAGAGACATCAATACCCTGAGCAGTCTGAGGATCTGTGCATGCGAGAACTCAGGTACTCTGGAAGAGGAGGCTATGGGAGCAGGGTAGGACAATGGTGGGGACTGGTAGAGGGAAGAAAGGCTCTTTTGTGATGAGTGGTGGATGGACAAGCCCTGAGGGAAGCTGCTTCTTGTAAGATGGGTGGTTCTTGGCCCGGACCCTCTTCTCTTGTGTCCTCCTTGGAAAGGGAGCCTCCAATCCAACACACTAGCTGTGATTTATAGATTGGTTCCTCTTTGATGCTGACATCTGTTTGATATTGCCTGACGGGGGGATTAAATGAGCCAACTGGCTCTCAGGGTGGCGGCGACCCTCATCGTTGCAGAGGGATGGGAAAGCAGACACTCGCTAGCAGTGACTCACGGGTAATTTCATGCCCCAGTGAGGACAGGGATGAGATGATGTGAAAACATGGCTGCTCTGAAAGACGTTCACATGAGAGATGACCGCTAAGGTTTTGCGTAGGATGCACGAATATGTAACTGTGCACGCATGTGTGTCAGGTTAAGGGTTAGACTGAGGCTGAGGGGAGCGCACCACTCCATCTCAGTACATCAAAGAAGACAAGGTGAAGAGGATGTGACATTGTAGGGAAGAAGATGAAGTCAAATTTTTGTCTAATGAGTTAGAATGTAATGGATGAGCAAAAAGAAACCCATAGAGGTGTGTAATTCAGTCTTGGTCTGCAGCCACAGCATAGCGCAGAGTGAGAGGATAATGCATGCAACACACTGAGGATGAAAGTGAATCTGCTGGAGCGAAATCAGGGGTATGAGACGTACAGAAAGGTATGTTATGCCAGGAGAGGGAGAGGATTGATTTCCATCTCTTTGGCTCTTTTATGTTCTCTCAGCTATGTTCGCTTAGTGATAGCCATGTACAGCAGACTGCCCTCCCATCCTTTACATACTACGATCCAACGTAGAACAAACTCCCAACGTCTTGTGACCAGGATCTATCCTTCCTGAATACGGCTCAAAATGAGCATCTTTCCTTGGGCAGAATAGAACTTGTTGTATACGCTGCAGATTATTTCTTATGAACACCACACACACACACAGGCACAATGGCCCAATCCAAAGTCAGTTAGACCTTATACGTGTCATCAGTGGGTACACTCTTGTTATTCTTTCAGCCAGTTCTTAACTTTTGCTGTAAAAGTTTTTAAATCTGCTAATATATTAATTTTGTTTGGTAATGTGTTCCAGATGTGACAGCCTTTGATTGAAAAGGCTGTCTGACCAAATGTAGTTCTGCGGTGGGCTATTTTGCAATTGTTGTTGGTGGAGTTCCTGGGGACCCTGCTACTGTCCTATCTATGGATGAATCCACAGAGTGGCTGTGGCGCTGATTTATTGAGGCACTTAAAGATTAATTTAGGAAGGATCATGCATGCAACACACTGAGGACATACCAGCTTGACATAAACAAAACTATTACATGTGTACAGCTATTACAGCATGAATACTTAGTGACACTAATATATCTGCTACTGAAAAATGGAAATGAGTTCAGCTACTAACAGCAAGTAAAAACACGATTTCCTGAAACCTCTTTGTTCGGTTTGTACACAAAATTACAGTGAAACTGTTGGAGATATTTAAAATCTCAAACTGTTGCGGTAAAAATGCACAGAACAAACATATCCACAATTGTCTGGGCAAAATACAGACAATTCAGGGGGAAAAAAACCCAACAGGCTATTGTGAAGCAATGGACTAAATTGTATGTTACGCCTCCTTTCAAGCTGGAATAAAAGTATGGTTTTCTTTATTGCTTCTTCTGTTTTCTTCATTTGATTCTTATTACTCATTGGTGTTTCATCTCTTTGGTTGCAGATGACTCTTCGCTTTTCCTTTTTTGCAGGTATTTCCTCTTTCATGTATAACGATATAAATTGGATGTATGTTTGGTTTTCTGTCTGTCGGGCCTGTATTCTTATTGTACACAACTGTAAGCCACAATCGTAGGCTGTTTTGTCTTTTATCCCAAACCCCAATGGCTTTTTGTATCCACATGCCTCACTGCATGCTCTCATGTGTTTTGTCAAAGCTAAATAAATATTGATTGTTGCTCAACGCTTGACGTGGCATAAAAAAAAAAAACTGTTGTGACGGATGAAGATTTTACCGTAAGGGGAAAAAAAAAAAAGACAGTCTGACCCATTTCCATTTCTTCCTCAACTTTAAATCACGACTTTTATTTACGACAAACAATAGACTAAAACAAACCAAGCATAACGCCGCTTTCACGAAGCGCACATAAATCAGAACTTGTGAAACAGACGAAGATTATCAACTGTTGACGGAGAGGCAGATAGAGGGTAAAAGGAAGAAAGTGTGAGAGAGAGCACATGGAAAATAGTTGCTGATTTACTGCTCATCAGACAACAGCAATGAACAGAATGTCTCCAGACTGACAGTGAGCATCGGAGGGACCGTTTGGAGGAATGTCACTGTGGTCTGCTTTTTTAAAAAACCGCTGCTCTCAGCTTCCAAATTGGAGGGACTGAAAATGAAAGCGGCGTAATTGCTGACAGTGACAAAGACATGGCGGATAATGAATCACATCAATGCCGATTTAGCTGGCTGAAATTATTAATAGCGGTTCCAGGAAGGATAGCCATGTCATGCTCTGATGATCAAATGTGTTTTTGAACAAAAAAAAAAAAGGGGGGGGGGACGGGAGGGGGTTAAAGGGAGGATTGGACAGGTTTCCAGATAATTTTTCTAATGTTGTGTAAACTCTTAATAACGAGCAAAGTCAACACAGTGAGTAGAGTTTACCTCCCTTCCTTCCCTCCCTGTTACCGCTTCCTCTCACCCCCATCTGCTTGTCCCCCCACCCGCTACCCCTCCACATGCTACTGCCCTTGTGTGTGATTTTTTGGGGAGTGATGGTAGGAGAGGTGGAAGGGAGGGATTCTGTGGAGGAAGGGAGGGGGCATGCAGTGTAAACTGAGCCTCCCTTGTTTTTGGCACCTTGCTGAGTGCAAAAAGAAGAAGAGGGAGCGATGAGGGAGAGAATATTGGATGAGTCAGCTGAGATATGGTGAAAGCCAAGGAGAACGGAACCAGCAGGTCATTTAAGGACACAGCAGACATTGTGGATTTAGAAAAGTTGCAGGCTGTGGCTCTGAAGGGTAATAAAGTAGTGGTAGGATTATTTGTAATGTCCCGAGGAATCTTGCGAGGAAAAGCTAAAACCATAAGTCAGGTGTCTTATCCAGTGGACCCTGGCCATGATTGTAAGGCTACATCCACAATAATACTCTTTCATTTTAAAACTTACCCCTAAAGCACAGACTTTTGGAAACACTACCGAGTCTGTTTCATTTTTTAAAACTCCAGCAGAAACTGAGAATTTTGGAAATGAAGACACAGAAAGACATGTTCACGTTCTGATCAGGTCTTAGCCCTCACTATGTATTGTTTAAAAGAAATACATCAGGCATGGCTATACCTTACAGGTGTTGCTTACCCTTGGGTCTATGCTGGCAGCTGTCGTGCAGATAAAGAAATCTCTTGTCTTGCTTGTCACCATTCCTTTGTTGCATTTTCTACAACTAAGCAACCAACCTCCTGCTTTATGTTCACACCAGTACCCATGTGCCAAGTGTACATGAACGGCCACATGATATGCATTGTCAGGTGTTAGTAAGCAAAGTATTTAAGAGATCACTGTCAAATTTGTTTCAAACTGAAAATGTATGATGTGGATTCTTGTTAGCTTTGGTAAGTTCAGTTTTTCACCAGCCCGCCGATGCAAAAATCTTTCCCCAGAGGCTGTTGTGAATAGAAATATGTTCAAACAGAAACCAAAATATCTGGACAAGCAAGTCAATGCAGATGTGGCTTAAGATTCATTTCCTCAACATGCTGGGCATCAAACTGACTGAGACTTTGCTGACGTGAAAAGGAAAATCCCCGGGGTTACACGTTTTCCCTCAGCTTTACTGTCACACTTGAGCCAAGGTTTCCCACAAATGTCAACACTGAAGCTGTCCACTGAACTAACTGAAACTAACTCAAGTTTCAGGAAAAGTAGGAAATTAAGCCTTCAGCTAACTAGAGGAGGGACGTTCACAGCAAAAGGTTTTTCTCAGCACAAAAGACGAGATTCTGTCGAGATATACCAGACTTTGTTTAGCAAACAATACTGACTGACAAAAAAAAATAAGGCTCACACAATAAAACAGAAAAACACTACAGTGTGGAGGAAGACAGCTCAGCTACAGTCAATGCAAGGTGCACTTCTGGTAAAGCACTGAGCTTAAACTACTTAAGTCTGAAAATGTTCAGCTGGAAGCACTTCTGAGGTTGTGTGTTGAAATGCAGTTAATTTAATCCCTGATATTCAATTGCTTGATAATAGGTGAATACCGCTGTAATGATTGCCACAGTGCCTCTCATTAGAAGCTGTTGGAGAGAGAAGCACAAGCTCTGCTCATTCGCCTGCCCGTCCACCACATCCTGAGGTCAGAATCACAAAGGTAGAGCACGTCTACATTAATGAAACACACATATGCCTACATGAATGAAAAACACAAGTCAAAAGAGAGTGCACAGCTCAAACAAAGGAACAAGACTTTTTCTTTTTTTTCCGCCCCTGGGGAGAGTCTCACAGTTCCTCAGAATTTAAAGACACATTCTTGCACATCCTTTTTTAGGAAATTTCATGATAACTAAAGAAGTTACCGATACTGTCCCAGATAACGCTCTCTGGCTCAATTGAACTAAGCTGACTCATCATCCACGACAGGACCACGTCACTAAACCCATTCCAATGTGCTTCGTCGAGCCCAGAAACATACCAAACATAACATTACAACGATTTCCCACAAGCAGTCAAATCTAGTAGTAATCCACCTACAAAATCCTGCTCACATTTCTTAAGTCTCTTCAAGATAACTGACCACACTGGTGAGCAAATTAGGCAAAACTGGGGAAACACACATTCTTACGCAGTTTCATTATCATTGCAGGATAAAGTACTATCAGTGTGACTCCTTCAGTTTCCTCTGCTTTATCTTTTCATGCAGCTAATGAGGTGTTTGGCTTTAGTCATACTTCCCGCATTAATACATTTTACAAACTCTGGAAATAACGACTGCTTCGACATTCTGTAAAAGTGTGGCTTTGTCCTCATTGAGCTTTCTTTCTGTGGTTACTTCAAGGAAGACCATGATTCATAGTAATAATAACAGCGTTTGTCTGTGTTTGCTCATAACTCTGTCATGTTGTTCTCACCTCAAAATTAACAGACAAGTTCCTCTTGAGGGCAATTTCATAGACCAGGCTGATCTCTGATTTGCTGGCGTCGGTGCCTTCCTCGGTCTCCCCTTTCTCCTCTGGGTTCTGGAAAAGAAACAAACAAATGTGTGTTTTTAACTAGGACACAGGTTTAACAAACGGTCTGTCGTTTCATGCAGCAGCTAAACTATTACAACCATTTTTTCATTATCACGTCACCACAGTGTTAAAACGTTGATGTTTCTCCCACTTTTGCATCCAGTCACACAAACAAGGAGGTTAGCAGAAGTGAAGGGGTACAGCTATTTCTAATTAAAGTTAAAATTCAAAACGGCCGCTGCCACCACGGAAGCTTTGGCAGCTCTGGTTTATATAAGTAGCATCACTGCTATCGTGAAATCAAACGAGAAGCCAACGCTGCAAGAGTCTCAGCCATCACTTAACTCCCTGTTTGGGAGAATTATGATCTCCCACTAAATAAGAAACACTGGAAAGAAGTGCCGATTGAATCACGACTGTGTGGAAAAACTTTTGAACCGACTATATGTCAAGTGGTGTCACAAAAGTGTGGTTTTCTTGGGCTTCAGCAAAATAAATAAGAACTAAATTGACAACAAACCCCATAAAATACTGCAGATATGCAACCACAAGAAGCATAACTAGCCTGAGGCCACTAACAATGTGCAGACATTTTTTGTAACTAAATCAGCTAAATAGTAGGATATTTTCTTTTGGGGTTATTCTTAAGAGTTTCTAATAAGGTAGATTATTTTTCTTTTAATAAATGGAAAGAACATCTTCCTTTTTGTTTTTGCCAACCCATGACTCCAAAACCTGTGGCACATATCAAACAAAAAACATTTCTGAATTACCCAACAAGAGCGTGGATGTCGGCCAACCTGCTGCAACGAAACGCTCGTCTGTTTTCTGGATACAGCCCTAATCTGATATGGGACTGAGAACTCGGTTACCGGGACACGACTGGTGGTCCTCTGTCTGCACAGGAAGGTCTTAAAGGGGTGGTCCAGAATTCCTGTGTGCTACCTCTCCTCTAGATAGCGTTGTTGGTGAAAATTAATAACACTGTCCTCCTCAAAAAAGAAACTACAGCACGAGGAGTCAAAAAAAAAAGAGACGATGAAGGTCAGCAGGAACTCATTTCGCATGTTTTTGTATCTACAGACAGTTCTGGTGACATTTCTATGTGAACAATTCAAAAAAATGTCTCCCTAGCCACAACATTCCTGCTCATTAATCTATAAAACAAGTCTGGACTTCAAGTCAGATGATTCAGGTTTGAGATTTTAGTTATTTAACGGTTTCAGAATTGCCAAGTTAACTGTATAAATATAGATCCAACTGACAAGAGCAGCTTTCAGAAATTCCTAAACTGGTTACAATTCATCTCTGAAAAGACATCTTGCTATTGGTCACGACAGTCTCTTCTGCTTGTAATAAAACCTTGTTCACACCATGGAGATCATATCATCAGCCATACAACATTTTTTTTTTTTTTTGCTGCCAGTTGTGTATGGGAATGCAGAGTGCTGTCTTGATCTTTATCTTCTCATGTCCAGCTCTTTGTCTGATTAAGTCTGAATGGCTGCGGTCTTTCCCTTTGGGCTCCTTCCCTTCTCCCGCTTCATTGTGTGACCTGATACAGCACATGATTAATACCGTGTGATCTCTTGGATTTCACAGGAAACAGTCACGTTGCACCTACCGCACTGGGCCAAAGACCTAATATTCGAGGGAGGTACACGCACTGGATTTGAAACATACGGTACTGTGGAAAGGTTTTTGGCACTTTAAATGTTTAGATTTATATTCATCATGCGGTGCCATCGGGGTGGCGTCTGATCGGTCCCAAATCCATTTTGGACAATGACTTTAAACAGCCAGGATTATAATGAATTATCTAGCGGCAAAAAGAACAAGGAGTCCTGTAACGTACAGTAATGCCCTCGCTGAACCGACAGCATCACGTCAGTCTGGTATTACACAATATGAGAGAAGCAACTTGCCAACCGTGGCATGTTCTCCAAGCAGCCTACCTGCCAAGTACCTTGAAAAACTGTATGCTTAAGTATCTAGGAGAATCTGTGATCCAAACGGCAAAGGGTGATTACACCACATATTGATTTGTTTTAGCTTTCTTCTGTTTATGACAACTTGTATGAAGTCGACTGATAAAAACCACAGTAGTGCTCATAATGTATTATGTATGTACATAAATACGAAAAACTTGAAAGTGAGTCAGTCCAAAGGGGCTCAAGTCCATTCTCCCTCCCACTGTTTTCATTTGAATTTTAATATGCATTTATAGCTTTCATGGTCACAGATTCCTCTTTCACCCTCAATTTTGATGCGTGTGATCAATAGCGTGAATCCGCTCTCAAGGCTGCCTCGCCAAACCGCCGTGGGTAAACGTCCGCATGTGTCAGTCGGTGCGTATTCGCGTGCGAAACCGGAATGACCGAGCAGATTAGCAAACTTCCTGTGACAAAGACAAACAGAGGGCTAAATCTGACCTCGGTACTGCTTCTAGTTATGGATGTACTGGACAGGGTGTCCTGCTGAAAAATAACAACCGATATAGCTTTCTAAGATATTAACAGTCACCCTGAAGGAGCTATTTGAATGAAAAGTGCCTACGGGCGAAGAGAATGCTTTGTTTTCACAATCGAGTTCACGCTCAATTGATTTCAAAGGGGAAACGCACTCTTAGATCAAAGGATAGGAAGGGACTCCCGGTGGATGAGACAACATAATTCTGCAAAACTGAAAGAAAAACTGTTCTCAGAGATCTAAATATATCTTCCTTCACACCACCCATGCCCTGAGCATGCAACTAATGTCCTAGAAACCCTCATAAATGCCCAGTTCAACTGCTGATAGTGAGGTAAACAGACAAATCTTTTTTTTGTCCCCCCCACAAAACAGAAAGAACATTTGTTTCACTACACATATAAGATTTTTTTTTTATCAGCAGCAGTTAAACCCTCTGGCAGGGACTTCGAAGTTAGTCAACCGTTTTAGTGTTTAACATTTATTGCTGCCTGAAATCCTGTAAAATTGCAGGTGTTTTGTCATTCCTGAGGTTACGTATTGTTGCGCTACCTGTGGATAAACACTCTAATTACAGTGTCACTGATATTTAGCTGTGGTCTTCCTTGACATAAAGGTTTGACAGCCCATGGTGAAAAGAAACGCATATAGCTGGAGGGTGTCCACACACTTCCACATGTAGGAACACACACACACTCACGCAGACACAGAATGACAGACGTATACTGTAGACACAATGTGCCTCAATTTGTAAATCAAGACTCAGAAGCAGCAGCAAACAAAGAGCTCATTTATGGAGGCCGACGCCACAAGACAGCAAGGCAGGCAAGTGAGAAGAGCCAAAGCGTTTTGAATAACCATCAGCGATGCCAGGCGGTGAGGATATGGGGTAATTTGATTTCCGGTGGGAGATGATAACAACAGTTAACAGCTATGCCTGAGGGAAACTCTGGAAAGGTACAATGACATTGGGAGTAGGCAGAAAGAAAAGGGCGGACAGGAAAAAAAACAAAAAAAAACGAAAGAGGGAACACAAAATACACCCCTGCCAGGTGCAAACTAAAACTATCAAGATTGCGGGGCTTAAATTATACATTAGAGTAATTAGAGCCGAGCTGGATTTGGATTCAATCTGATGAAAAGCTTCATCTTAGTAACTGCAGAAAAACTACATAACACTTCAGAGCCATCAGCGGGATGGGACGGACGGATCGGCAGCGAAAATCCTTTGACTTTTTAATTAAGGGAAGCGTTTCCAGGTAGGAGGGGCTGGAGTAGTCATCTGAGGTGAAAGCAGTCATAAGGTGACAAAAGTGCTGAAGGGATGAGGTTGCATTGATCGGACAATCTGAGTTGTGGTGGAGGGGGGGAGAGAGGGTGGGTAGATGTTTCATAAGGTGGAAATGCATGTAGACAGTACAACTTATGCATTAAGTAGAGATCCGGGATCATACTGGCTGATTAGTCAAAGTATTTGGCAGAATAAATAACAATCTTCAAATTGTTTGTGCGGTTTGAGGATCGATGCTACTTCTAATCGCAAAGTTTCTCTCCTGGCATTGATTCTAATATTAAAAGACGGACATCTGATTCAGTCATTTGCTGTAAATGTGTGTTTCATCACCAACACGAGACGCAGCATAAAATAAACTTGCTACCTTCAGGATCTAGTCCAAGTAATACCTAGTCACATGTGAAATACGACTCTATAAATGCTACTGAAGCCTGTCTGAAGAGAAGCAGGAAAGTGCGGTTAGGGTGTGACAGACTTCTATCACTGAATCCTTTGGCAGTGGCAGCCAGTAACTAGGTAGTGAGAAAGAGAGAGTGTGTTTCTATGGTGACGTTTATCACCGACCATGGGAATGTGATTCACGTCCATCGAGGCTTCAGTGATGTTGATGTTCAAACAACTGCAGTACCGCAGCACAGAACGGTGGAACGCAGTTTGATTTAAATTGATAGAAATAATTACATCAGTGCAATAAAGAAATGTGGCTGCAAAGTAAAAAATGAAATAAATAAATGCTACAACTATTTATATTATATATATTTTACACATATATTGTCAAAGCCTGTGATACCGAAATGGTACGTTTATTGCCAAAACGCTGCATATTTTTATTGGGTATCCAATATAAATGGACTAAACGTAGGTCTATGAGCAGCCAGTGCTCACTGACCCGTTGGTTTTGAATGACAGCTCAAATAATATTTCAAAATGTAGGTGTTTACCATTTTATATATTCATTCTGGCATTTATATATTTCAGTATGTATTTCACTGGCGTTTTCTCACTTTGAATACCAGCATTTCACATAAATCAGCCTATTTAACCTATCGATTCCTCCCTTCCTCTACAGTAGCTTGTGTATTATGTGACAGCTGAAGCTACATAAGATTTAGAGTGCAGTGTACTACAATCAAATGCTCTCTGTATTTGTACCGTTTCTAGAAGACTCTCCAAGAGCAGCAACACTCACAAGATGCCTGGGAAATGAAATGGATACAGCCTACTTCTTATTTCCCTTTTCTGAATGCATTAAGCTTTTGTACACAGCAAGTATCGGTATCAGTATTAGTATCAGGGATACTGAGGCCTGGGTTTTGCTTGTCATCGGATCGGAAAGGAAATCACTGGCATGGGTGTAAAAGTAAAATGCACAAATTGGTCCTCAAGTGACAACAGCAATCCCATTACTACTTAAGAAGCAAGTGCATTGAAAACACAATGATCTATGCAGCACTTTATGATAATGAAGGATCCAAAGGGACTGGTCCATTGAATAGAGATCATTTTACCACGAAAAGGTGATGTTACATGTTGTTTTATTTCACTGCCATTAAAATACTAAAATGAACAATGACTTAATCCCAACAACAAGCATTGTCTGTGTGGATGGAGCCAAACTGAGCCTAATCCTTTGTCCCCTCGGCTTCCATTGTTGTCTAAAAACAGTCAAAAACAGGTAACCGGTGCACATTATGGCATTGTTTCGTTATCACAAAGGGCATCATTGTGTATTAAATACCAGTCAATCTTAATTGTAAACCAAATCCAAATCAAAGAGGGGCTGAAAATGTATCTCTACTGATACAAAGTTTACTCTTGATGGTTAAAGAATTCAGTGGGGTTTTTTTTTGTTTTTAATTATGCATATGAAATGTAAACATATTTGATCTTTTTTTTTTTTTTTAAATTTAGTTTTCCTAACAAAGTCAGAAAGTCATGTGAAAGCAACCCAGGGAAGGGTAGACACTCAGAGGCTTCCACTGTAAGCAAGTCTGATGATTTCTTTAAGCATAACTAATGGTTTAGTTATATTTTTGCAAGATTTTGCAGCTGCCTGCATAATGATTTAAAAAACTCAAGTGCTTCACCGACAACATGAGTCCAGTGGTGAACAGCGATAGTATGGTTACATCCAGCAGCCAGGAAAGTAAACAACTCTCATAAACAAATCTCACAGGGTCAGTCAGACAGAAGGCCGTGCCGTTTTTTAAAGCAATAACGGTGTCATGAAGATAGCTCTGGGAATTCCCTGAGCAGAAGTCAACAAGTGCATGCTAAACAACTACTGGAATGTAATGTTCTTGTAAGTCTCTGTGTTTACACGTGCTTGTGTGTGTGTTTACCTGTGGTGGCCGTTCAGGGATGGGTTCATTGCGCAGGGCTTGCAGGGCCTTCATGGCAGCGTTGTGTCTGGCTGCTTGGCGGGTGCGTCCCTCACCAATAAACTCATGACTCCCCACAGACAGCTGCACATAGAAGATCTTAGGAACAGGATAATGGTACCTAGAATATAAAGAACACAGGAATAATGATCAAAAATCTTGCAATATTGCAGGATGGATTTGTTTACCCTAAGGTGAATGTTTATTTCTGGCCTAAAAACAGATGAAAAACAAGTGAAGGAAGAGGCTCGAACATTATGAGCCAAGTTATCAATTCACACCGTTTACACCGTTCCCAAATTAAAGGCCCACCACTTCATCAGGGTCAATTACTACACAATAGCCTGTTGGCCAACCACTTGAGTAATGCCTTGCTATTGAATCTCAGTTCAGGGATACAAAACAAAGCACAGGGACATATATCCTCTCCGCTTTCTTCTTACCCCGAACATAGATTACACTCTCTTTCTTTGGGTCCTGACAGAGCGGGACTGAGCTGTCACCGAGCAGATTTAGAGGTCTGCGTGTGTGATACCCCCTCCTGGGTCAGTAGGAGAAGGGCTGAGAATGTCTGCTGGACTGAGGACAAGGAAAGAGAAATAGTGGGAAAACTAATAAGAGAAGAGAGAAATCCAAAGTTTTTAATATCCTTCTCCCTGTCCGCTTTACTCTCTGCCAATATACACTTATATTCACGAGGACATACAACCGCCATATGTGGTCGACACAAATGGATAACAGCAGCTGAGATTTATGGAAATGTGTCTTGACCAGCGTCTGGTTCCCAAACTGTATTCGATATTTTTACGTTTGGCTCCGAGCTTTTAATGAGAGAATGAAAATCCATAGTAAGTGAATATGGTGGAGTTTATTTCACTACTTGCAGAAGAAAATTAAAACAGGCTTTAAGGATATACAGCTATCCCTTTTCTCTGTGTATACATTTCAATACCGCAATATCCTACTTGGCACTGTAGCCAGGCTAATGCTTGATTGAGTGCGTGTGGGAATTTGGGGAACCCAAGAAGCAGTTTCTTTCACAACAAATTGCACACATGCACATTATTAAATGAAGACGTATCACGTTAAGCTAGCCCTAACCCAACAAGTGCTTTTTGATACGTCTGAAAACTACAAACAGCCCCTTGTGTATATTCTAATGTATTTAATGACTGATCACATGTTGTGAGTCATTGATTCTCTTGTGTCTCCTAAAGCATAACAGGACAAAGGGTGTGTTCCAATACCCATGTTACTGTATTACATAGTATGCCAGAAAAAGATTTTGTATGTCCCAATACATTAAACGTCAAATGCGGTGTGCCAAAAATACCAGGATGTCCTACTACATTCAGTCTCACTTTACACTATGGAAGCCAGCGTGCTTTTCTGGCCATTCTGAGCTGCAATCCTTTGCACACCGGAAGATACATCACATACGTAATAGTGCCTCACGTGAGTATAAACAAACCTGAGCTGCTTACCGACAAATGACAACTCAATTCGTGCAACAGAATATATGAGAAAGACAGTCAAAATTTAAGACAAAGTGGCACATCACAGTTTTTAAAGGCAACTGCAGAACGTACTGAAAGTAAAAACAACAAGTGTATGAATTGGAACTATGCTAAAAGTTGGTACCGTAATTTTCGGACTATAAGCGGCTGCTTTTTTCACACGCTTTGAACACTGCGGCTTAAACAATGATGCAGCTAATTAATGGATTTTTACGAATTTGCTTTGAGACGAAAGTGACATTGAGAGTGACAAGAGAGACTGAGGAAGTGTGTGACGAAGTAATTCTGAGGCTGTTCTATTCTGACACTGAAGAAGATGACATTAGTGGTTTTAGTGCGCAGGAAGAAGATGAAGATAGCCATCAATGACTTTTCCTGCTAGGCTACTGTGTTACAGGCACTGTTCGGAAAAAAGCATTTACTGTACGTATTTGTGTATGTTATCGGGATGTATTTAATTAAAAACTAAAAAAAATCTTTACGTGTAAATATCTCATGTTACAACGTGGACACCTGCAGCTTACAGACAAGTGCGGCCTATATATGTACGCATTGTTTTTCTTTTCAAAGTAAGTGGGTGCAGCTTATATGCAAGTCTGAAATAAACCAAAGTCCTAGGAAAATGTTCATTTGGACCTAAAGATGACGAAAAGTCAGCGATCACCACAGTTACTGCAATCCATTCTAAGGGGAGCATGAATGTGTGCTCCAAATTCTTTTGTTTTCTTTTCTTGACAAATCCATTTCATAGATGTTAATAACAATAAGAGGAACACCAAAGTCATTGCAGTTCATCCTTGGGGTGATCTTAAATGTGGTTCATAACTATATATGTGACTTTGAACCAAATATCAATGCAATCCATCCAACAGCTGCCAAGAAACTTCACTAAAAAACATCAATGGCAACCTAATAACTAGAAGAAAAGGCAGGGATTTACCAAAACCAGTGAAATTCATCAACCAGGATTCATGAATGTCAAAAAGTACTAAAGTTAACAGCAATAAATCCAGTAGATGTTTTAATGTGGACCAATGCGGTTGACTAATCGACAGAGACAAACATTTTCTGTAACATTTCAACACCTACTTTAAAATAATGGTGTCTTGACATGAAGATACTGCGAAAGGCTTTACTTTGGATTTCACATCTAAAGGAGCTGTCTCATCCGTCGGGTGTATTACCTCATCAAACTGCACTGTAGCACCGTCGCCCTATTCCCAGATGTGAGCCATTACTGTGGTGTGTCTAATCATCGTTATTGTAACTGACAGAAAATGTGACAAATAGTACATAAATGAGGCCCGACAATGAGGCCGATCAACCTCAGACCTGAGAAGCTTACCGAAAAAAGAAATTTTGACTTTTTTGGCTTCTGTTTTTTCCTTTTTTTTCCACAGAAATACCAAAAATACTGCTGCTTTACTCACAGCAACTATTACAAAATAACCCTTTGCAACACATTTTCCTGAACATCTCCTCCCCTCTTCCCACTCTCCTTGTGTCTTTCCTCAACGTCCCGCTCAGCAGTCCTAACAATGAGTCAGCGTATTACTCCCAGAATTCCAGCAGGTCTTTCTCCAGCCCACAGCCCTCCTCTCATCCGTCTGCTCTCAACTCCTGGCCACGGGAGCCGTCCCTGGGCGGGGGCCTGCCTGGCCCTCGCACGTCAAGTGTGGCCCCAGGGTCTCAGAGGACATGCCAAGTGCAACATGGGCTCCGGCCAACAGCGCTGAGCCGAGATGGGAGCAGCTGGGGCTGGAGCACTGAGTACAGGTGCAGAGAGGAAGAGAAAGAGGCATAAGAAAGAGAAAGAGGCTGAAGGAGAGAGGGAAAAAAGGAAGGAAAGAAAGGGAGTAGAGAGAGAGAGAGACATGGAGGGAGGCCTGTGGGAGACCCGACTCCACAACGTGGGAAAGTAGTGGCTTACACACAAGCGAGTAAGCCAAGAACACAGGCGAGCACACATACACACATCAAAATCACGTAGACAAAAAAAGGCTGGAAAATCACATTAGAGTGCCGTAGCCAGTACAAAAATCACCGCATGCTAGCTAGAGCTGCTTATTATGTGTTATCAATTCATACTTCTGGTATTATTGTTATTACTACACACAGAGGGAATTGGACCAGGTCCCCTGTTGGGAGGGTGTGGAGACTGCTCAAAGGGAAAAAAAAAAAGAAAAAAAGAAGCATCACTGTGTCTGTGCGATGACGCAAGTGTATGTGTGGATCCAGTATGACTCAAAAGAAGAGGACGACTGATGCCGCAACTCAATCAAATGATAACTCATCAACATTTAGCTGTGAGTAATGAATTTGACTTTGAAGGCAGAACCTTCCCTGCAGCTCTCTTTAATGTGGGCCATGGTAGCAAAGGTTACCGTTTCATCTTAATCATTCAAAGACTCATGCATGAGCACACAGAGAGATAGACACATAGTCAGATCTTAGTGTTTATAAGCCCACACGCATGCCGAGTGGGAAATGGAAGATATGGTATTGCAATTATTACTATAAATGACAGAGTGACATCTCAGCTGGAAGCTATTTTCTTCAGTGGCATGACAAACTACTCGAAATGCTTGTGCAGAAAAAAAATAAAACTACACGTTTTCTCTCACAGCAACTGTATGTTACACTTGGTCTTAGGAAACAGCTCACGTCTCATCCATGATGTTCTTATTATTTTCGCAGCATATTTACATTCACGGCATCAGACACAGCCGGCAGTTTCCATAGCATGTGAGTCATATATATTACACAGACTGACGTCAGGTAGATCAGATAATATTATAATATACAATAGTCACATGCTCACGTGCAGATAAATATTACGCTTACATATCCGTGTACCACAGGCTGTGAAGGTATTTAGGGAAAACGTAACATGGGCGTGCCGTATTATTTCCATAGCAGGTTTTCCTCGACTATGTTTTTCAGGTTACGTGCCATTAAATATACGATATTCATTAAATAAGGCGAGACTGTTGATATTGGCAGCAGGTCGTGTATTAAGTTGCCGACATACTGTGAAATAACAACTATATCATAAGGGTTCCAGTGGTAGATATTTGCTTCGGTCAGTGCAAAATATTGTCAATATTGTACTTCAGATGATTCAACAAGGGCCTAATTTGTAGAGTTATGATGTAAACAAAAAGTGAAAAAACACTTGCAAAGTTTCACCAGCTACCATCATCCATGTGCACTTAGGTGTCTTGAAAATGTAGCACAAAAATAGAATTTAATGACTAAGTGCTCGCTGTATGAATGGGCATTTACAGCGGAGGCAGGAATGCTTCCTTGTATATTGTTGCATATATTTATGACTGCTTTTCACCAGTGCTGTGATAATGGATGTTTAATTGGGTGTAAGAGGTTCCATATTTAAAATAAAAACTTTGATTATAATAATGTAAGACAGCAATTAACGAGCTTTGATCACAGCACCGCTCGCTGATTTCACGCATTGGGAAAAAAATCATCGAAAGAGGATGAAGAAAGTGTGGGGATCAGGGAAAAGAAGGCAGCGTGAAAAGTGTAGTGAGTATGGTGTTGCCTCCTGATTGGTTGGTTTGAAAATCTTAGTGGCTGTAACAGT